CTTACCTTACCTTACCTTAGCTTACCAGCCCAAGCCAAAACAAAAGAATAGAAAGGCTTCACCCCCAAGCCCTCTCGCTCTGCCACGCGCTCGAAAGTTGCTAAGCGATCGAAGCAGCGTACAGTAGTAGTGATAAGCTAGCTACCCATAGAAAACCACCCGTCGGTCGTCAGGGCTTGAGTACCATCGACCGACCGCATCACCCAACGATCACGTACGGTACCTACCTATCGCATCGCATCTAAAACCAAGCCTCACCGCTCAATCACACACACTTACAACCACAACCGCAACCGCAACCACAACCACACCCACAACCGCGGAACCCACCCACCCGCTAATAGCCGCACCACCAATCACATATCACGAAAGAGAAGAAAAAGGAAGAAGAAGGAGAAGGAGAGGATAAACGAAGTCCCCCCCCCCCCCCCCCACCTAGCCTCCCTGTCCGTCAAGGTACGGTATAGATAGGCTCACAACTGTCAGCTCATCCTCGCCTCGCTTTGCGCACTCCACTGTACCCTACCCTACCCTACCGACTACCCACATCGTCACCACGGACCCAACAGAACCACGGTACCAAAACCATAGCAGGCCCGGCTCCTCGCCTTTGCCTTTGCCTGCTTCTTCTTCTTCTTCTTCGAGGGTGTTGCTGTATGTACTACTACTACTACTACTACTACTACTACTACTACTACTACTACTACTACTACTACTTACTACTACTGTACGTACTCTGTATGTACTGGTACTACTATATACTACGTACCTGAGGTACCGGTATCCGTATGTGGCTCGTGCGAGCCCGGCCTATGCTATCAATCTTTGCTCCCAAAGCCCCCCTCCCCCTCCCCCGCCCCCGGCTTGCTGCATCATTAGCTTTTCTCATCAACGTGGCCGTTGGCGAGAAATGGAGGTGAAATCGATCCCTTCTGTAGGCGTAGGCACGGTACCGGTAGGTACTGTAGGAGGTACTAGTACTAGGTCCTGTGAGTAGGAGGATCGGTCAGTAGTCGTGAGTAAAAATAAAATAGCCTTTTTTAGTGGTGGGGCGGAGGGGGGGGGCGGTTTCGCTTTTTAAAACACACTGCTTACCGCCGGTTCACGGTTAGCCGGGCAGCGCACTGACTGTTGTTAAAGTACCTACCTACGGTAAGTATGGGTTGCTATGGTGGTGGTGGTGGTGATGATCGATGGTGATGATGATGTTGATGGATAGAGAGAGATATGCGGAGTCATGCAGATGAAGTCTTTTTATTATTTATTTATTTATTTTTTTGTTTTGATTTATTTCGGTCGTTTCTAAATCCAAACGAGTCATTGAGCTGAGTTGTTGCGTTGAGCGGACGACGGGAAGGGAGGAGAAGAGAGAGAGAGAGAGAGAGGTCGATCCAGCTAGCTACCGTCGAATCTGCGTGATCTCCGTTTCTTTCATTCATTCTTTCTTTTTTCTTCACACGGAAGCACCTCTGTACGGTCGGAGGTATCCGCACCTGGTGTTGAGATGACCGTGAACCCACCGGGTGCTCTATCATACGTTATCCCATTCACCACTCGACCCTCCTCTTCTCTTGTTGACCAACTTATTTATATTGCTCTCGCGCCCGCTGGCTTTCCCGCGCTTGCAATCCGTTCCTCTCCCGTCGTACCGTCCTGCTTTCTTCCACTGCACACCTACCGGTACCGGTACCGGTAGGTATCCACATGCAGAGACCACGCCTCGTCCCCACACAGCTACCTACCTAGCTAGCTCCAAGAGGATCTCGATCCCTCCCCTACCTGGCCTGGCCCTTCCTTGCCTTGCCTTGCCCGCCACCATCCCGCTCCACCACCACCGACCGCACCGTCAAGCAAAGCACGTGAAACTGAAACACCACATACTACGTAGGTACTCTGATAGAGTACGGTAGGTAGGAGGACCGGTAGGAGGACCGGTAGGAGGACCGGTAGGAGTACCTAGTATCCCATCCCAGGCCCTGTCCAAGCGCATAATCTGCATGCATGTCGAATTGTACCACCTCTCTCTGGCGGATACGTAGTACGTACGTAGGTAGCTGTACAGTACTACCGGCACCTACTACTACTACCTACGTAGTACGTCCATACTGTACGTCCTAGTACTTTGACCCAGGGTACCTTACCTCAGGCCACACACACACACCAAGAGTCCTTCTCATCCTGCTCGAACCCTACCCCCTACGGAGGCTCCTGGCTTACCGACTACCTACCTACTTACAGGTGCCGTGGTGTGGTGTGATGTGCTGTGTGAGACAGATGCAGATCGCCGATCATCAGGCACACACGGGCCCGAAGCGCGCGCACGATTCACGCCTCGGCGGTAAAGCAAGCTTCTCCCGATCCTCTTGTTGGCGGGAGGGAGGGAGGCAGGGGAGGGGAGGGAGGAAGGAGGGGGAGAAGGGGGAGAGAGGGAGAGAGCAAGAGGAAGAGAGCATTGCTGTGATGTGCTGTGATGGGCTTGCATCCCTTGGCGGGCGGTCGACCGGCGGGGATCGTCGGCTGGGTGTCGTGTTTTCTATACTAAGGTACGTTTTGCAGGAGTTGAAACCTGCCTGGCCTGGCTCAACCACGTCGGGAGGTTGCGCTACCTGGCGCTTCTGTGGATGGGTCTTTCTTTCTTTCTTTCTTTCTTTCGTTCGTCTGTCTGTCTGTCTGTCTGTCTGTCTGTCTGTCTGTCTGTCCGTCTGACTTTCTCTCTTTGTTGAAGCTCCCGCTCTGCGCCATATGCTAACGCTCCTACGGTTCATGTTCTATCTGCGGCTTGTGCGCATTACCCTTCTTCTGTTATAGATACATACATACGTACCCGCCACGCCGTTTTCGGAGGAGTTCATTTCCGTGTTGTCTTTCTTTCATTCGTTGATTCTTTTGTTTATTCATTCCTTCCTTCCTTCCTTCCCTCGCGTCTCTCTTCCTAAGCTCTCTCTCACACACAGCAAGGTTCCATCAACCTCACTTTACTCCTCGCTCACTCGCTCACCTACTCATCACTCTCTCTCTCTCTCTCTCTCTCTCTCTCCCCCTCCCTCCCTCCCGCAGCTCGGCTCTGCTCTCCTCCAGCCTACACTAACAACATCAACTATACTTCCTATATCTAGCTAGCTAGACCAGCTAGCGAGCCCCCTCGGACTCACAGCGCTTTGATTTCAGGGTCCCTGGGCATCGATCGCGCCGGGTCGAGATCGAGGGCTAGGTATTCCATCTCTCTGTCCGGATCCACCAGCGATCAGTCAAAAGGTGGGCGGCTCCGTGAACGGACTTGATCGATCTAAGCGTCAATTCGTATTACTTCATGGTTGAAAATCCTGGGAAATTCCAAAGGGGGTTTTGGAGAAGAAGGAGGGGCTTTGGTGCGAGTTGGGGAGATGAGAGAGTGTGGAGAGAGACTGTCTATCTGCTGGCTGTGTTCCGCTGTTCGTTTGCTCTTGTATTCTGACGTGTTCTGCTGCAGTGCGGCATGAGATATATAGGCATTGCACGTCGATGGAGGAAGGTAGTTAGTAGATATCGTCTCGTCTCGTCTCGTCTCGTCTCGTCTCGTCTCGGCTTCTCCCCTCTCCTATCGCATTGTATCGTCTACCTTTGCCTCCTCCTCGGAAGGATGCGGCAGATATAGGATCAGCGGACTCGGAACTCAATGGTACACGGCAGTATCGTGGCCGTGAACGAACCAATGTCAAGTTCCAACTACCCACAGGGACAAGAACCTGCCCTCCAAGGGAGCACTGCAAAAACATCCATCTGTTTACGACGTATTCAACATCCCGCCGATCTATCTATTTTCCGCCTCCTCTCCTTCTATCCTCTATCCTCTATCATCTTCCCTCTCTTCATCCCTTCATCTCTATCCTTTCCTCTCCTCCTCCTCCTCCTCCTCCTTCTCATCTGCTAGTCACGCATACCTCGCTTACTTACTTACCATCTTCGATTCATACCACTGCTGCTGCTACTGCTGCCGCCACCCTAAATAAATATACCACAGCCTCCTCACTTCCACACCTCATATATCTCCTCTCTTCCCTCCCCTCATGAACTCATTCCACCTCCCAACCTGACCTCGCATACATACGCTCCCCACTCACTCACTCATTCACTCACCCACTCACTCACTTACCTCCTACCTACCCCCTCACCCGCTAACCAATAGCCTCCCACCCCTCCTCTCACCTTCCCCACCCCCCTCACCCACAATCAGTACAGAGTCCCGCCCTCTCTCCGTACACCACACCCGACCGTCAGCGGGTAGACGCTACTGCCGCGGCCGTTTTTTTTTTTTTCTTTTTCTTTTCATTCTTATTAATTTCTATTATTATTATTATTATTATTATTATTAATTTTAAAAAAAAAAAGTTTTTTTTTTATATTTTTTATTTTTTATTTTTTTATATATATATATTTTTTTTATATATAGGCCTCTCTTCCAGCCCTCTTCTCTTGAGAGTTTTACATCTGACTTTGTACATCGCTTTGTCTCTGATAACCTAGAACCACGACGTGCGTGCGGATGCTGAGAATCTACATGTCGCGGATGGATGGGGGGGATGGGGGGGAGAGGGGGATTGTGTGTGTGGGGCCCCCCTTTTTTTTTCTTCGTGTTTTTCCCCTTCAAATTTTTTTCCCCTTCTATTTTCTTTCTCTTTTCTATTCTCTTTTCTCTTCTTCTTTTTTCTTGTTTTGCCTTTTTTGCCCTTTTTA